GTGCCCTACCACAACAAGGGACCTCTTGCTCACCTTTGCCAATCAGGCCATTTCCCCCAGCAGGACACAGCAGGTTTGATCAGGCGGATGCTTGTTCTGGTGCAGCTCAGTGCAAAGCTACACTGGGTGGCATTCCACGGCTCCATGGTTGCCTTCAGGAATTTCTGAGGGTGCTCTGTGTTGCCTTTATTCATTCTGTCTACCCTTGTTTCCCTGCTTCACTATTCCTCTTGTAGCAAGAATAAATTAAAGTCTTGTGTTGCAATATATCTACACTGCTACAAAGCTTTCAGCTGACTTACATTTCTAAGTCAGTATATCAAAGGATACTTACTTTGACACAGCAGAGAGGGTAGTAAAACTCAGAATAGTTTTACTTAACCTGACCACCTTACTCAAATGCCTGACCACCCTTTCAGTGAAATTTTTTTTTCTAATGTCCAATCTGAACCTCCCCTGGTATAATTTAAGGCCCTTTCCTCTCATTCTTTTACTTGAGACATGTCAGAAGAGGCCAACCTCCAGTATACTGCAATTTCCTTTCAGGTAATTGTAGGGAGTAATGAGGTACTCCTTAAGCCTCCTCTTCTCCAGGCCCAATAAACTCGGTTTCCTCAGCTACTCTTCTAAAGACTTATTTTCTAGACCCTCCATCAGCTTTGTTGTCTGTCTTTGGACACAAACATTCAGATTCAACCCATCACTGGCAATGGTTTTCAGCCAAGGATCATCTGCTCTTTGCAATAACCTCACTTTCTTCTCCTAATAGGTCGCTGTCCTAGCATATGTGTGCTTTTCAGTAAAGGGTTTAAAATAAGCTGGAATGTGTGTCACAACATTAAAACTTTTTGAAAAAGTAATCTGTCTAGGCTGGTTTAGAATCTTCATCTTGCACTGTAAGTTCTACCTCATTTCTGTGTAAGAATGATGCTTTTCCAAAAGTCAACCTAATTCAAAGTTCCTTCTTGAGCTTGTTAATAAAGCTGTAGTGATTTTTTTCCTGTAGTGTAGACATGCTCTCTGCACTCTATGAAATGGTTGAATTCATTCTCCTTTACCTTCTGGCCCCCTTTTCCACGCTGCTAATCAGTTCCTTCTGACAATTAACTTGCTTAGCTGTCTATCTTTTGAACATGAGTTTTGAGAAGTGGCTTATCTGAAGAAGTATTCATGTTTGTCCATCTAAGTGATCTTTAGTGCCTGGGGATTCTTGTGATTGTAGAGTACCAATTTGACTGAACACTTATTCAGCTATGTAGAAAAGGAGATAAAGAATAAAATTATCATCTCAAAGCTGCACGGGAAATATAGATGAACATAATTTATTAGCCTACTTGTGGTTTGGCCATAAAGCTGGGATAATGTCTCTTATTACACACAAATGACGCTTTATTTCTTTCTTTATTTAGTGTATCTATTTTCTAGATAAGAAAGTATTTTACATTAACACTTAGGCATGGATGAAGAAATTAAAAATGTTTCTGAATACCTGATATACAGCTTCTTTTTTATCTAAAGCAGTTTTAAAGCGATTGCTGGAGTCTTACCAAATCAGAAACACCAGAATGTCATTGTATGAAATGGCTAATCAGGGGAATTTTTTCACAGTAATTTTTCTTACGCCAATTGGCTCTTTATATGCTCTTCAGAGAGGCTAACTACATCCTCGTGCAATTGAAGATAAGCTGCTCAACACTAAAAACTGAAATCATTCAAACTTAATCAGAGATGAAGTATTATGACTGAGAGGTTTGGTTTCTTCTAACATTAACTAATTTGTCCAATTTGACACTAACTGTCTTGTGCTCAGTTCCTTGATTGAGTTGAATGATGATGGTGTAATTTGCTGTGTTATCTTATGTCTAATCAGCTTAACTTGTCTGAATGTCCTTGACATTTATGGATGTCTTTGCTCAAGTATATTATTCCCCCTGGAGTTTTCCCAAAAGGTTTGGATTGAGAGACATTCTGACGGGTCCCAGTGATTTATTTCTTGGTAGACCTTCAAGTGGACTCTGAGAATTAAATGCTTTTCCTATCACTTCATGTTTTTTCCATTGTGAACAAGGAAAAATATTTAAATTTAGTCCATTTTCCTCTTCAAGGTCAACTCTCTTTAGTCTCATCATTTCCCATCCAAAACTGACTCTTCTATGATCATGCAAAGGGACATTATTAGTTATATGTGCATAATAAGAGATTGCTGTCGGATTGCCTGTAGTGGATGTTTGTATGTAATAATTCCTAATAAAAGTATGAAGCTTTTATTTTAGCTGCTTTTATATTGCCAAAATTTAACTATGTTGGCAGAAACTTTTTCCATTTCTGATCTCTGTTCTTGCCTGGCTTTATTTTGACAGCTGATGGAAAGCTCTCCATTTTTTCCTTCCCTGAACCCTTATTCTGCTTAAGTGAAATAAGGACAACAATTTACTTTTGTCTCTCCTGATCCCATGTCCATCAGTTTCCAATTGAAGTTTTTGATAAAAGAGTCCTATCATCTGATATTGGATTGTGTGGATTAGCTAGAAGTAATGTGAAGGAAGATTTTGTATAACTGGCTGATGGTTACATTAGTTTCTTATTTGTACAATAGTCTATTATTTCTTTCTAGAATTCTGTCTAGTTGTTCACCTCTTGGATAATACTCAATGAAGTAATAGTTTGTCTTAGGTGACAATGATTTGGCTTGAACCATTCATTCAACTTCCCTTAAGGTGTGTGTGGGAAAATATTATTGTTGCACATGTAAAAATCCATAATTTATTTAAAATTAAAATGCATAGACATACGCACGTACACAAGGTATGCAAAGCCAAACGAGACTTGAGAAATAGTATTGATGGGAAGCTCAGGCTGCTATCTTCTTTCTCCCAGCTTTTTTAATGGTAGAATACAAGAATTATCTCTTACCTGGTATGTAAAATGGGAGTTAATCAAGGTGCTGTCTTATGTTGAAACTGGGGCTTTGGATTCCTGTCCCTCTACTGTGAGAACCAAAGTTAAAAAGTGAGGAAAGCAGAAGACAGCAATTGGAGAGCTTGTATTGTTGATCACCAACCTGTTGTGCTTTAATCAAACTAAGAAAAGTCTGTTATACATGCTCTATTCTTTCTGCCATCCTCCAGGGACAAGACTTATTGTGGCAGTTTTGTTTGGGAACATTGTGTTGTGCGTAGTGCTTTGTCTTAGGGAATGTTGGTTAAAGATGTTTGCTCTTTGCTCTGGCTTCAAGTTGGGCTTTACAGTAATTCTTTATTTGATGGGAAAAACTCTGTTCTCCGTGTCTGGATTTCTAAATGTCAGTCTAAGCTTCGGGCTTGATGTAATTTGCTTTCCAGAAAGACTGTAAGAAACAGGTGAAGATGCAACATGAAGAGTGCAGGATATTATAAACAGTGGAAAACTGCTATGATGAACATTAATAATCTGCTGAGCATTCCCAATAGCCCAGTGTACTCCACTCGCTAGATTGATATTTTAACCTTTTTAAACAGTTTTAAATAATCTGGTTATTTTATCTTTCTATGAAATCTGATAAAGAAATTAATTTCAAGTAAATTCTGTTTCAATGAGTCTCAACAGTGAGCAAATTATGTTTAGATGGTAATTTTAAAGGAGCAAAGATTTCTAGATGAGCAAATTCTGTAATTTACATCCTGTGACACTTGGTGCTGGCTGTAGGAGGAAAGTCCAGTATTGTGTCATGGTCAACAAGAGAAAGAAGTAGTCAGAGTCACTTAATGGAGTTATATTGGGTAGTTCATGGTTTAAATATTATATAGGGTTTATAATATTTGTCTTTGTCTAGTACTCTGCTTCTGCAAATGGTTCTTTGCTATTTGCCATTGCACTGCAGGGATTAGAATATCCCAGAGAACTGCTGGGTTCCTCAGGGTGGCAAGCTAGAGCCTGGCAGCTGAGACCTGTCCCATCCAGTCAGGGGGCTGGAGATCAGAGAATTGGCCCCAGCTCTTGGCATCACCAGTGTCCTTGGCTGTGTCTAGTTCTGTCCTGGACATCTCTAGGGATGGAGATTCAGCCTCTCTGGGCCATGATGTAGTGTTTGACAAACCCCATGGCTTAAACAAAAAATAAATCATTACATCTGGTTGGAATTTCCCATGATCCAGCCTGAGTTTGTGGTCTTTTGTGCTATCACTGTGCTACTCTGAGAAGACTGTGGCTCTGTCTTCATGTCTTCTGATCAGGCATTTATAGATAGTGGTGCTGTCTCCCCTTTGCCTTCCCCTCTGAAGGCTGAATAAACACAGTTCTCTCCACTTCTTGTATTTTCTGTGCTTCAACCCTTGTCCATCCTAGTCCTCCACTGAGCTCATTTCTTTATGTCCATATTTTGGAAATGATAGTCCAAGATAAAATCTCTTTGCTTCATGTTGACTTCCAGATCTTCCAGTTAACAGCAGATGTATGCCCTAATCAGTAGATGTATGCCCTAATCAAGATTCTGTGGAGTCTTATTTCTTCAGTAGATAACTTACGAGCTTCATGTAAAATGGAACAACATGATAGGGAGAGACCGACCCCATCTGAACACTAGCTTCCATAAAAGCTAGCTCACTTTTCCTGTTTGTGGGGAAAATTAAGGTCAAATGCCTATTCTACTTAGGAAAGGATAATTTGAATATGTGTCTTTCCTACAGACATGATCACAGGAACTACTCTAATGCTGAGTAAAAGATGGATTATATCCATTATTTTTTCCATTAAAAAGTCAATATTTGCAAGAGACATAGTTGGGTATATTATTGCGCCCTGAGTAGCTTGTTGACCTCAGGATTTGATACATTACCTGAATCTTTACATTTAAATAAGGATGTTTTGTGGCAAGGGAATAACTGTTCAGGTAATTTAGGTTCTTTCCAGAGTGAATGTCAGCTACATGGTAAGTCTGTGGATTGAAACTTTAGACATGGGTTCTAAAACTGAGGTTAAACCTGCCTTTATGTACATGCCTGAATTTGATCTTCATTTTACAGCAGAAGCACATGCTGTTTAGAAGAAGGGAGCCTGGAGGCCACAGGTGAACAGATTTCTAGATTATGTTCCATTATGGCAAACCTCAATGTTATACGCGTTTTTGGCTGCACAACTATTTGTTTTGAAGGTGGCCATGACACCACATTATAATCACCCTTAGGTAGTTATGTATGTCTCTAATGTCTCATCCATGAAAAAGTGGACAAGAAATGACTAGTACAGTGCAGATGTTAGCTGCATAGTTAAATGTCCTTATGCCAAAAACCCAGTTGGAGCCTTAACATTCTTTCGTATCATGTAAGCTTGAGGAGAAGCTCATTTCCAGAAACAAGTACAGAAGTTACTTTGGATTCATGTGTAATTATTAGCTACGTGTTTGGAATTCTTACCTGAATTGCATCAAGACCCTATTTTGCATTTAAGAAAATGCAAATTTAAAACTGTTATGGTTTTCTTGTTAGAACAAACAAGCCTAGCATAAGCAAATGCTATCTGCATGCGTCTGTAGACAGTTCTGAAGAAGCTCAGTGCTGTCTCTTCTGGGAGGATTATTAGTATCCACATTTACAGTATTAAATGAGGTTTGCAAGTGTTGTCCTGTAGATAAGACATGCTTGGTGAGAGTACAGTAGACTATGAATAGAAGTATTGGAGCTATTTCTTGTGCCACACTTTTATCTTTAGAACAGATTCTTAGTGACAATCTTCTTTGGGACCCATGTTATTGCTACTTCTTCTGAAGACTGAATGATTCTCCTTTACAAAGGAGGGGTCAAGATCCTGTAATGGGTATGGTCAATATTGTTTTTATCAAGACAGAATCAATTAACATGATCTCCTTTTTCGAGCTCGGAGCTGGCTCAAAACTTCTCAGCAGGCAAAATCAATCAAAACTGAATGTTGATCTCCTGGAGCGCAGGAAGGCTCTACAGAGGGATCTGGACAGGCTGGACTGATGAGGTAAGGACAATGGTCTGAGGCCAAGTGCTGAGTCCTACATTTCGGTCACAACAACCCTGGGCAGGCTGTGGGGAGAGTGGCTGGAAAGTGGCTCAGAGGAAAAGGAATTGGAGGAGCTGGCTGACAGCAGCTGAACATGAGGCGGCAGTGTGCCCAGGTGGCCAAGAAGGTCATTGGCATTCTGGCTTGTATCAGCAATAGCAGGAGCAGGGCAGTGACTGTCCCCCTGCACTGGGCACCGGTGAGGCCACATATTGATCGCTGTGTTCAGTTCTGGGCCCTTCACTACAAGAAAGACACTGAGGTGCTGGAACATGTCCAGACCTGGTGAAGGGTCTGGAGCACAGGTCTAATGAGGAGCAGCTGAGTGAGCTGGGGTTGTTTAGCCAGGAGAAAAGGAGGTTCAGGGGAGACCATATAGCTCTCTGCAACTACCTGAAAGGAGGTTGTAGTAAGGTGGGGTTAAGGTTTTTCTCCCAGGAAAATAAGTGACAAGATGACAGGAAATGGTCTCAAGTTGTGCCAGTGAAGGTTTAGGTTGGAGACTAGGAAAAATTCCTTCATAGAAAAGTTTGCCAAACATTGGAACAGGCTGCCCAGGAATGTGGTAGAGTCAGCATCCCTGGAAGTGTTAAAAAAAATGTATGGATATGGCACTTGAGGACATGGTTTAATGGCAAACAGTTTGGCTTGATGATCTCAGAGGTCTTTCCTAACCTTAACGATTCTATGATTCTGTGCTTGTGACATGGTAGGATTTGTTGAAGGGACTGATGAGACTGCGTAAAAGGACTATTAAGGCTATTAATTACTGTAGATCCAGAATATACTGGGTGATTTGAAAGATCCATATGAGGAAGGATAGGGGTGTATATTCTCTCTCTTTGCTGGGAATCTATTTCTTCTTCTGCTTCACTACCCACCTTCTCATTCACCTTGTATTTGCCATTTTTGAGCAGCTCACAACTGCCTATATTCACCTATTCTTCCTCCAGCAGGTCTTCCTACTGTTTTGGGGGAATAGGAGGGAGGACTGGTCTAGGACAGAGCTGGAGGGAAACCCCAGAGAACCAAACTTATTTATCCTACCCTTGCCTTGCAGAAGACAGCTACTGTCTCTTCTGGGAGATGAAAAATGCTACAAGTTCCTCTGTCTGGCAAGAAGAGCAAGAACAGGGGCTGTGCAGGTTGGCAGCTGGTCAGGCTGGACACCTGGACATGTGCATATGGAGTTGTTAACGTGTCGTACATCGCAGTGTGCTGTGCAGGGCAGTCTCCAGCTCTATGTGCCCTGATAATGAAATTGTAGTGGGATCCTGGGACAAATCTGGATACAAGCATAAATACGATCAGATTAAAACCATTATTGTCTTCGTGGTGATTGCTTAATGGAATGTTTTAGCCAAAAGGGTTGACTTTCAAATAAGTTTAATTTTAAAAACTGCTAACACTGTTTAAGAGTGTTAAGTAAGCTTGACCACTTCATGATATATTTCAAATAGCAGAATTACGGAGGACTTGGGAAGATCCTTTTTAAACAAGAAGAGGGATTTGAAAAGAATAATAAATCATGTAAGAGGAAGAAATGCTGTGTGAAACTAGTAGAAACTGGATTAAACAGAAAATAAACCATTGCCAAAATGCAAAAAAGATTTTCCTTTTTTATTGCTCGCACAGAGTAACTTAATTTCTATAATATTAACTTTATTTGAAAAGGGAAGCCTTTCTTTTTCTAAATAGCTTCATGCAATGATTTTTGTACCATCTCCATTCTGTACAAGAACCTGATAATTCAGGTAAAAAAGACACTGAAGTGCAGAATGGTGTTTATCTGAATGGATGACATGGTGCAGAGACAGAGATGTTTGTCAGGATCAGCAGGATTCTTCTGAGAACGCTTTATAGAAAAATGCAATTTTACTTTACTAACATTATTTACCCACTTCAATTGGTATTGAGTAGTATTTTTGTCCAAACAACCACCCTGAAGTTTCAGCATTCCAGAAACAGTTTTATTCTGTTTAGATTCTTGATACTCAGCTACTAAAGAAGGTTTATTACTGCTGACAAAACTGGCAGAGAGAACGTGGTTCTTATACGCAACCTTGTGCTCTAGAATGCTTGTGGTTAACAATGTCCTGAGTTTGGTCTCTAAGAGACCTCATTCAAAGCCTCTGAATCAGAGAGGGCTTGAAAATGATATATCCCATTGGTCAGAAAATGCTGTAACCCCTGGGCTATTTAGCGTGTGCTCAGTACAGCTGATAAATCCTCCACAGGCCCACTGGGAAACTGAAATTTCACTCAGAAAAATCCTGAATTTGGACTACTCATTACAAATATTACATTCTACCAAAAACCTTCCCTTTTTTTTTTTCCCCTCTCATAATTTTTGGAAGACAATAGTTTTAGGTTGAATAAGAACATTGTAGCAACAAAAGAAAATGAAAAGCAATAAATTGTTTACAAGGCTCACAACACTTAAAGGTGAAAGTGATAGGTATAATCAAATTTGTACCAGCTTTAGTTCCAGCTAGCTTTGGTGTGGTTTATCAGTAAATATTTCCTCACAGGAACTTGCTATAATAAAGATAGAGAGGATAAACAGAATTTTTCATCTTAAAAATATGTGCAGCAATAAATTGATTGAGCATATTGAAAATTAAACATTTAATGAGAAAGCACTACCTGGTTCTAACTACCCTTTGGAGAGCACTAACAGGCATTAGTTTAGACTTAGTGCAGAAAATTAATGAAATGAATAGGTGACGGATATTATTCTGTGTCCTTACCAGAAATCATGACTTAATAATGATCATGTGTCTTTCTCCTGGGTAGCTTCAAGGCCAAGTAAATAGACTTTTATCACATCAGTCAATCTCATGGGGTATCGCTTAAAAGAACAGAAAGGATATATATACACATATTAGGCCAAATGTAACTGAAAAGCTCAGTAAATATGTGTGAAAAATGCTGGAAAAGTTAAATAGAGCAGATAAGCCACTAGATGGGGAAAAAAAAAGATAAGGGAAACTCTTAAAGAGTCATGCTTAAAAAAAAAACCAGAAAAATCCTGATTAGCAATACTTATTGTTTTACAGACTAGTAAGGATATACAGAATCTTTTCAAATAGAATCTTATTTTTTGGGTCCTATAAGAAGTCAAATTTTACCTACCCTTATAGTATTTGTTGATTTTAACTAGCATAAGAAAGAAGAGATTTTGGCCACATGTTTTATACTATAAATAATGCTAATTGTTCAGGCTTTGAAAGTCAGTTTCTAATCTAAAGTACTAAAAGATATTTGATTGATTTGGTATTCTCACACTGTTGCATCCCACTGGAAAAACAGTACATTAAAAACATTTATTTGGTCTACATGAAGAGGAAATGAAAAATTGAACTTCCCAGTAAGATTTTCATCTGACTTGGTAGGTGAATTAAATGTTCATTTAGGGTTCAGGATACAACTTATATTGCCTCACTTTCTTAGCTTCAGGGGTTTAGGCTTGAAAATCTGTGATTGAGCTATAGCATAGCTTGTATTAATTGTGAAACTAATATCTTGATTTACTGATGTCACTGACAGAAGCAAAACCAACTAGAGCTACACAATTTTCAGTCATTCTTTCAAAGCAGTGAACTATAGCACAATTTCAGGTCAATGGTTATTGAAGTCACCATTGAACTGAATCAAGAAACTAACATCAAAGAATCAGAGACCAGACCAGATCAAAACACATAATCTTTTTTTCCAGATAGAGAAGTGTACCAACTGCCCTTCATTTCAAAAACACTGAAGCTGGAAAGCATTTTTGGGATAATTTAGTAGTGCCTTTGGACAACCTTACAACCCTTAACTTCATCAGAACTGCCACTTTAAAGTACCTACTTTGTCTGGAGGTCCTGGTCATGCTTTTGCAGAAAACAGTGAACTGGTATATCTTATTACAGAGCCATAACCTGGTTCTCAATAACATTAAACTAGTTTATCGCTGGATCTAGTGCCACGTATGATTTGATTCAACAGAATAGCAAATGGTTACTTTCCTATCCCCCAGGAATACCAGGAAGATGCTTCTTTGAGGAAGTTCATATTGGTGTTTCACTCTGTTCTTTGAGTTACAGTAGAGGAAGTGGTCACATCTGGGTGGGCTTTATTTGGACCATGATGGGAACTCTGCCAGGTCACAAGATCTGTTTCTGTTAAAGACGCTGTGTTCATCTAATTCATTTCAGAGAAATCTTTCATAATTAGCTGACTCATACAACAACACGATCCAATCCAGATGAAGGGAGGGGAGGGGAAATGGTGAAATAGTTTGCAGAGCTACAGCTTCCCTCTCTGACTTCTTTATTAACTCTTGAAAGTCCTTTATTCATTATGTCTCTAGGAATGAATGAAGAAGCTAAAGTTAACATTTTTTTTAGCTTTCTAGCATTCTAATTTGGAAAGTATTATAACTATTAATTCATTGATAATACAAGAAGTGTTTTGCAACTCTTTGAAGTGTTTTAAGCAATGAGATTACATCAAACCAGTAGCTATTTGAAGCCCGAATGATTACTTTGTTTACTTTATGAAAAAGTAATTCTACAAACGTGTGTGGTATGTATTTTATCCCTGCATTTTATCTGAAGTTTTTACTTTAACCAAAATTCACACAAACTATAATTATTTAAATGAATACAAACAACTTTCTAAAACTAATTTGATTAATCAGAATGTTCAATGGGATGTCAGATGAACCATCTGGATTACCAGACATGTTTTATCCTCTCCATGATGTGCTCTCATTACTACACTGATGACCTAGGTGGCTCATCTGGTATTCCTGCCTACAAAGGCATGGCTTAAGTGTAGTGAAATCCGAGAAATGTAAGTTCTGATTGATTCACTCTCCTCAAGATCAGTAGATGTATAAGTATAAAGGTAAGTCTCTGGACCACAACTCATTCCCACTTACTCACAGGTGTACACTGATTTGGAAGACCCTCTTTCTCAAAACAAGAAGTGATGCCACAATGGGAGATGTCTGCATAATCTCTTGTATGAGCAGATGTTGTCTATTGGATCCAGAAGTAGAGACTTCTGGAAGAAAGAAATGTTTCATACACAGAAATAAGAAACCGCGATAACCACTCTCTCTGGTAGTTGTGGTCCACATGACACCTAAATAGTACAATTCTTTTTAGATTCCTGAAATTATAGTCCTGATACTGTCCTTGAGCATCATTTAGGCCATGCTACATGCCATACATATGATGCTACTGGCTAAGAAGGTCCTAGTACACCTCTTAGTTTAATTAGAGGTCTTGCTTTCTAGAAAGGAAATGGAAAATGGAGAGAACTGAGCTGTAAAGTACTACTAGGAAAGAAACTGTGGGAAGTAGCAATGTTTAGCTTGAAAAGAAAAAGAGAAAATTTATAATGTTATTATTTTTAACATATTTGTAAATAGAGCAGTTATTAAGTCAACTGCACTCCACACAATCTGTAGCACAAAAGACATTATCCTACCATGGGCTGAGTGACCACCACAAATTTTATTGTTTCTGGCTGAAAAAGAGGTTGAGGACTTGAGAAGGTGGGACTAACTGGAATCTATCCCACTACAGTCTTACCTTCAACCTTGATGAATTTTGTAAGGGTTTTGTTCCTTGGGCATACAAGATTAAATGGCTGAGAGTGAAGAAAAGGAGAAGGGACGAGTAACAAGGTCATTGCAATCAAAAAAGCAGAAGCAAAATTCAGAGTCCTTTTTATCACAAGACTTGTGGAAGAAACTAGAAAATGTAATTACTAGAAACTTAAATCTGAAAGTCAGGCACTTTTTTCCTGGGGTCATGTGGTGCTTGTACACCTGAGATTAGCAAATGGTATCTGACACTTTCCTGCTTTCCATCTGACTGCTAAAGATAAAACACAGAGCTTCCAATCACAGAGAAGATAGAAACTCCTCTATTAGCTATCTGTCATGCTATTTGTAGCTTCTGTGTTACTTAATTCAAAGAGATTAAAGATACAGATCTTTGGTGCTTAAGGGTTTGAACTAACTGCTTTTAATAACTGGTTAATTTTTCTCCCAAAGCCTTTTCTAAGTAATGAATTTATCTAGTGTGGTACCAGGGTAAGAGAAGGATATGCTTTATAATACATTTTACAAGTTGCTTCTAAGCTGAAGTATCTTGTTTGTAAAGAATTGCAAAGCTTTGTGTCAGAATAAAGACACAATTTGGAGTTCCCTAGAATACTCTGCTTTAGGCAACAGTTTGTGAATGACTGTCAAACCTACATGCTTTTCAAGTAAACAGAAGAGCAGGACAGCT